TGGGAGTGCTATCAGACAACCATGTTTATCCCCCCACCCCCCACAGCAAGTCATGTCCAAGGGAAACATCTGCTTTGGGAGAAGGGTATGGGAAGGAGGGAGCAAAAACTAGGGGTATGAATTCATTTACAGAAAAGATTGGGAGAGGCCAAAGGAGGGCTGGAAATGTGGGAGCATGGAAGTGTCAAGATGTGATCTCTGTGCTTCACTGGGAAAATTGGGTTTAACAGCCCAGCACAATAAGGCCTTGTGGTTTGTGATGTATGACGAGAATTAGGCCTGACAGCACCTCTGATGGGAGTCTCTCTCGCCTCTTGCCCACCCTTCCTCTACCAGAGCTATTTCAGCAATGCAACCCTCCCTCCTCCCCCGCAATGTGAGCCAGACTCTCTGCACCACCAAGTTGCCATCATTAACCTAATTCCAAGCTGCCCCTTTATGCTGCTCACTTCCAAAGAATGTGTTTTCCACAGCCTGGCTGCAGCTGGACCTGTTAGAAGTGTGGGGGAGGAGGAATCAGAAATGTAGGGGGCAAGGTCCTTGTCCTGCTCCCTCATTTCACTTCTGTTGGTTTAAGGCCAGGCCCCTAGCTTATGTTAAAAAGGCAGAAATTTCAATGCAGATGCTCCTGCAGGAGGGGGTAAGGGGACCTGATGATTAAGAGAATGGAAGCCTTATGCCATGGGGCGAAGTACCTGGCCATATACTTCACTAGCCTCCCATTCAGAACCCTTCCTTTCAACAGACAAGAGATCTAAGGGGACAGCCACTTAGCTGCCACTCTATGGCTCGAATCTCTGAAAGTGTAACCACTGTTCACATGTTCTCCTCACTACGAGTTCCAGTCCTGTAACCAAGCTCTCCTATGGGTTGGTTCAGTCTACAAGGGCCAAAGCAATCCATGTTATTACACAGGTGGTCAGGGCATTCCTGTGTTATAACACAACTCCACAATATTGCCTCTCACATGCACAACAGCCTTCTGTATATAAAGGGTTAATAAATTATTGGTAGAGGTATAAGCATGTTACAGACACGAATAGTATTGTGCTATTGATGGTTATACGCATATCAACAGAAGGTGTTACAGAGGGTAACAAGTCAGGTTATAAGTAACTTGTTGGACTCCATAACAATCAACCATTTATTAAAATGTCTATTAACCCTCTATTAAAAGAACCTTAATATAAAGTGTGACTTCCAGTTTGTAATGTAGATATGACCAAAGCAATGTCCGTAGAGCATGCTAAGGCTTAAGGCTGTAGCATATTTCAGGAACAAGGTAACGGTCCTACCTACACTATACAATGAAACCAACACAGCTGTCACTGGAATGCCGAGGAGGTCTGAATGCTGCACTACAGCTACTCCCTGACTCCTTTTCTGGTTCAGAGCAGACAGGTTCATTGGCATCAGGATTCGTTAAACCAAAGGACCAAGGCTATTGAGTTAAACAGAGATACACCAGGGCTGAATTTGGCACTGAGTTTGCTCCAGTCAGGGCCGGCTCCAGGGTTTTGGCCGCCCCAAGCAGCCAAAACAAACAAACAAAAAAAGCCGCGATCGCGATCTGTGGTGGCAATTCGGCGGGAGGTCCTTCGCTCCCAGGCGGAGTGAGGGACCGTCCGCCGAATTGCCGCCGAATACCTGGACGTGCCGCCCCTCTCCGGAGCGGCTGCCCCAAGCACCTGCTTGACAAGCTGGTGCCTGGAGCCGGCCCTGGCTCCAATCACATGATGCTTCTACCTGGGCGTTTCATGGGCTAAGCTTGTTAGCTGCTATCCACCTAGAAAGCTCTGTGAAAGCCTCTCTCCAACTTGTTAAGCTCTTACAAAATCTCAGTTATTAGTTTTTGTTAACTTTCCCCAAACTCAGTTTTGTTTCAAAACTAGTGAGACAGGAACACAGCCTAACCCAGTGTCCCCAGAAAAAAATCACGGACGCAAGAGTTGCTAGAAATACTGATTTTTTTTTAATATGGTGTTTCAAAACCACAGATGACAAGAAATCTCATTATTACAAACTACGCAGAATCAGGGCTTCCTTCCTTATCTTGTAAATAGACATTATATGTACAAACTCAATTACAAAGATTCTCACGGCCATTGACTACACCCTACAGAACGGCGACAGCTAATGTGCCTGGCAGTGTTTTACAGCTGTGGAGATGCACTTTATATTAAGATTTCAAATTAAAACAAAACAAAACCATGCTTTACACATAAAGTTTAGTCTTAAAAAAAATCACAATTTTGGTATCATTATAACTTTAGTGCACATATGATGTCCCCACTCCATTGTCAAATATCTCTCCTCTCCCAAATAAGCATTTTTGGATAGGAAGTGGGCCAGAATCATGTAAACTGTCACTCATTGGCCTCAGGTCCCATCCACACTACATGTGAAACAATGGTGTTGTAACCTGTCTCATCTAACCCTTTACAACAGACATGTCTCCGTGCTGCAGATTTTTTTCACAGTGCAACCATGTTACAGATGTTTTTGTGTTCACACCTACCCTAGGTGTGAACACACAAACCTAGGCAGTGCATTGTGGGAAAATCTGGGCCGCTCTCATGACACCTCAACAGGGTCTAGAGTACAGGACATGCTGCAGCAGGGGGACCAAAGCATGCTGGGCTGTCCACCTGCACAGCAAAAACATGTTACGAACTGGTGACAAGAAGCCAACCATGTTCCAGGCTAGATCCTAACTGAGCCAAAACTACCTAGGTAACTGCCATGATTACTAACTGAGTGTTAATAGTGTTGTGTATGTAGACACAAGCCATGGTTAGAGTCAGCTGTGCCACTAATGAGTTACAAACTCAATTGGAAGTTGTAGTGTAGCCCAGGCCTAAAACTGGGCTTTTAGCAGCAGTTTCCACATGAAATTAGGAGCTTGCTGATAGTTAACTGGTGTGACTGACTTCGTCCCAAACTCCTCTCAGACCTGTTCCTTTAACTCAAAATTTCCGTTCTACAACTACTGAGCACCCCAAAGTGGATGTGTCAGCTTAAAACTGAAAACCCAGATCTCCTTCCCACATACCCCAATAATCAAACCAAGAGATTGTTCTTCTCTGCAGTTGTCCAAGTACCAACTGTTTGTAAAGCAATGACCTAGAAGAGAAGAGTCTCTTGAATCTCTTGATCCTTAGTCCTATCTCCTGTTCTCCAATGACAGGCTTCTGCTTTCTTGCTCTCTCCTCCCAAGATCTTTGCTTCTGCCTAAATGTTTCCATCAGCAGCTGTTGCCTCTCCACTTTCCACCACCAGTGGTAGTAGATTAAGGCTGAAGCACACTGATCTGGGATGGCATGACAATCTCTGTTCCTCACATACAGATTCTCCATAGGGACTCCTCACAATGTTGCAAGTCCATCTCCTACAATACACACATGGTTGGCAATACTGTATATCTATAGTGTGTTGAGATTCCATCAACTCAGAAATACACAAGCTTCAGAAAGACAAACCTGTGCTCTCCAGTCACATCTCCTCCATGCACTCTGGCTCCCACAGGTGCCATTAGTTTATGGGGTCTATTATACAGGAGCCTTTTCTTAAAACTACAGTCTACCCAAATCTTCATTTTAAAAAAGCAGAATAAATGCCTTAGCAAAGATTTCCCTGGTGAGAGTTCGCTGCTGTACACACAGGAGTCTTGACAAAGCCCTGGCTGGGATGATTTGGTTGGGGATTGGTCCTGCTTTGAGCAGGGGGTTGGACTAGATGACCTCCTGAGGTCCCTTCCAACCCTGATATTCTATGATTCTATGAGTCACACTGGACTGCCTTCTGGACCACTTCATGCTGAATTGCACAGAGGTTCTACCCACCCCTCTTGTCCTGTCAAGGCCCATAGATGATGATCATAGACCAGAGACAGCACAAAAGTGATGCTAAAATGGTGTCAGCTTCTTTAGTGCAGAGATGAAACCAGACTGGAACATCAGAACCAGAACCCTGAATCTGGGGAAGGTTAGAGCTAATCTCAGCCTGGGCCTGCCTCTGCTTTAAAGTTTTCTAGAAGCTTTTTGGTGATTCTGCATTTTGGGTGTTGCTGAAGGCAGGGACAACGCCAGATTTGAGGGATGGAGGTAAATGTGTGGAGAGAGGTGGCGCCAAAGTCTGTGCATGGAGCTTTGAGCGAGGGCTCTGCTGGCAAGAGCTTGAAGAGCAGCACTGAGCTTGCGTATCACATTCACATAACGGTTTAATCAAAGTCTTAGGGCTGCCTGTGAGGACTCCATAGGGCAACTTTTTGGCAGCTAAGTTCAGAGCCACGGATAGGCAAATTTCTAGCTGTGATCCATTAATTTACGTCCTTTCAAGAGCCCACCCAGCGGATATCCCCAACTCTGCTTCGACTCTCCCCCATAGCTCAGCTATCCCCCACCTTCCCATGCTATGTACAAAGCAGTGTCTTCACATTTCTACCCAAACAAATACTAAATGGAATGTAAACATGGTATCTGCCACTTCCTGGGTCTTCCTCCCCTCCCTAGAGGGGTGAAGTTTCTCTGGGGGAAGGAGAGGGAGCAGGGCTACTTCAGAACCAAACTTTGTCAAGGCAACAAGGCCCCAATTCTACAAAGCACACAGATGCCTAAATACCTTTGAGGCTCTAGGCCTTAGTCCCTTTGAAGTCAATGGGACTGACAGCATGTGCTCAAGAACTTTGCTGAATCAGGTCCTATGGATCAAAGCAGGTGCAGTTAGAATGGCCTCTTTCTTCGAGCAGGATTTTCACAGACAGGCTCCCCCACCATTGGCTGGTTTTGCCAAAGCCTTTTCCACTATGTGTGGGTGTATTTCAGTGCAAAATGAGGAGCAGAGTTGCTCAAGCAATGGTTTCCAGTTCTGGTGATCCATCATCTCCTCCACGCGCTCAGTCCACTCCCATGCTTAGTATGAACAGTTGCAGTACAGGAAGAGAGTCCCTCAGTGCTGGGACTCGCTTGGCAATGAATCCTGGAATAGCAAGGATGACTGTGGAGAGACTGTGTCATTTCACTGGCATTTTTGTCCCCTCAAGCTGCTTGAAGGGAGGGTTGAGTAGAAGTCCTGCTCTCCATTAGTCAGTCCTGTGTGTGTTACTGTTCCCCACACGGGGAGGGTCTAATTCCCTTTATGTGACTCAGTGTGTGCCCGATCCTAATCAGCAGTCTGGGGATCTCCTCCGACGGGGCCAGGTTCCTGTTAGCACAGAAGGTGCCTTACAACTTTCTTCAGCACAGAGCAAGTGAAGCAGGAATGGGGACCACTGCAGGTGTGTATGGGATGGGGAGAACTCTTGCTAGCCCCAGGCTGGTGGATGTGAGCCCTTGGTGACATCGTTGTTGCAGCTGGTGATCCCCATTCCCAAGGGTCAGGCTGAATGCCCCTGCCCTCATCGCTCAGTCCAGCGAGACTTCGCAGGGGTTCTCATGAGCCTGGTGTGCATCCTCGTAGATACGCCGGAAGTCTTTGTACCGGGGAGCACAGCTGAGCCAGGCCTCTCCAAAGTGCAACCACCCCGTGAAGAGGAAGCTGCCAGGTCCCGGTTTCACTCCACACTGCAGCAGGGTGTGGATGCTGCCCATGGATTTGCTGGATTTGCTGACAGGCTGGAACAAAGTGAATTTCTGCCGGTGAATGCGCATGGCGCTCACGCTGATGATGGATTCCTGCATCTCAACATCGTTGGAGACAGTCCGGATGTTGCCACGAATGACTGAGGGGAAAGGTGGTAGGACAGACACAATTACTCACTGATCCAGAGCTGGGAACTGTTGCACTGCTGTGACTTCTGCATCCCTAACTGGGAACACTTAGCTATCTGGGAAAAACTGACTAGGTCTAGGTGGCACAGGCGATCCAGGGGGTCAGTGCACCAGCCTCTTGTCTCTGGAGACCTGGGCCCAAAGCCTGATGTATTTACATGTTCAGTGCACTGGCAGGTCTGCATGGGGATGTGGTGCTGGAATAGCTGAAGGGACTGCAGATCACAATGTAGGTGCATTATAGATTTGTAAGACCAGAAGGGACCACTGTGAGCATCAGGTCTGACCTCCTGCATAACATAGGCCAGAGAAACTCTCCCAGGGATTCCTGCACTGATCCCAGTTAGCAGTGCTTTGCGGGGAGGGGGAGCTGCAGGAGAGAATTGAGGTTCACTGGCCAAAATAAGAAGGGGAGATACTTGAGCAAGTCTAGGGGACAGTGGCAAAAATACCCATGCTCTATCCATGTCGTGCTCTTATCCTTACTAGCACTACTGGAACTGCATCCCCCCCCAAAAGTCTAGTATAGACCAGGGCTCAGTGGGTTCTCCTGTGTTAATCCCCTTGTAATGCAGCAGATGGATGTCAAGTGTTGTATTCTAAAGGGATCATCACCGCCCCTTCCCCCTCTGCTCTAGTTGGGATGTCACTCCTTGAAAGGAATGGCTGGTAAGTTTAGAGAGAACATAAAAGAAAATCCCCCTTCACACAGAGGACAGCCAACCTGGAGAATGTGCTTTTGCTGGGGGTCATTGAATCAAATACATAGGCTGGATACTCATGGGCATTTCCGAGCATTCACAGTTATGTACTGAGATAAAGGTTATGAAGCCTCATGCTTCAGTGCATGCACTGATCACCTGTGAGAGTCAGAAAGGGATTTTCCCCTCCTTGCACATATTATGTGTAATACTGCACGATTAGCTGGGTGCATTCTAGTGCGGTTGGCCTTCCCTGAATCAGCAGGTATTGGCCTCTGCCAGACCACTTGATGGATTTATAATCTGATCTAGCATGGCAAATCCCTTTCCCTTACGTTTGACTTCTTCATTTCCATGGCAACTCCGGACAGGGCAGTCAGTGACCCCTGACCCTCCTTCTACTGTTTAGAGATGCAAATCAGGAGGCTAACAGCGTGTGCAAGAATAATTGGCAACTGTCCACTGTGGCGCAGCCATGTGTGGACATTTAAATGGGAGCAAGGCTGTTTTCGGCTGTGTGATCACAGCCTGGGAGCAAATGCCGGCAGCACTTACCACAGGCTACTTGCTGATGGTATTAACCCTGCCGTGGCCTGGCTTGCCAGCTATGAGTCAGCTAATTAAGTGGCAGGAACAAAGGGCAATGGCTGGGTTGTTTGCCGTTGTAAAGCTGCCACACTGGGCTCTCTGTGATTCCACACGAACTGCCCCATGTTTTGCTCAGCATTTGGGAAGTTCATACTGTGAGTCGCTCCCATGCACATGCTCTGTCAGATCTAGACTATGCCCAACCCTGTGTGTGCTTGCAGGTGGCTGGGGAGGATGAAAAGATGGCCCCTCCTTCCCATTTCAAGTGCCCAGCCCCTGTGCTGCGAGGGAAGGGGCTTTTCTGTTTTGCCTATGCTGTTGAATTTCTCCCTCTACCTCTGTCTTTTATTTCTGCACCAATTATTTCACTGGGAAGACCTGTGGAATGCAGGGGTGTATTGAAGACTCAACACAGAGTATAGTAAGTAACAAATCTGGCCACACAGTACTCCAGCTTTCATTCCAATACTTACTAGAGCGGGTTGGAACATTTTTGATCAAATGACTTTTACTGAAATATGCAATTTTGTCAAAGCGGAAACGTTTTGCAGAAATGTATCAGTTTAGCCTGCTTTCATAGGCAAAGCTTTTTTTGGCCAAGGGCTCTCTGGTCACATCTGATGAGGGAAGGGAAGCCAGATCGAAAAGCTCACATTTTCCATCCAAAAACAGATGTTTCAACATGATTCAGTTTAGCTAAAATGTGTGAAATGTTCTAGTGTGGAACAAAAATAAAGTTCAGAACCTTGAGAGCTGCCACACAATGAAACTGTTGCACTCTGCACAGCTCTAGTGCTTGCCAGAGATCTCCCAGAACTCCTTGGCAACACGGGGAATAGATTTCAAGGCCTTTTAATCCATCAGCACAGTTCCTTACCACTTGAGATAAGGAAGAATGTCCTTAGCTGTCATAAGGCCTATGACACATAACTGAGCTTTTCTCATTCTCTCTAGTAGAGGCCAGTGGTAAATAGTACTGTTTATTATGTGCTGGTTAGCATGTGTCTTTATCATGGGGACATCAGAGATTGGATTTTTCTTTGTTCTGTGTTTAATTCTTGGATCCACTGATGTCAAACACCCCCAATTCCTGGAAAAAGAACCCTTGGGGAAAGAGAATGTGAAGTAGAAGAGGGCAACAGTGAATGCAGAAATGGCAGAAGCTGTACTTACCAAAGTCACTAGTGCAAATGGCCATCAAGATCTCAGTGTCATTACACGGCCGGCATGCCCCTGCAGCATCCAAACAGAGAAAAGTTACATTAGAAGTGAGTCCCAGGCTTCCTGCTCAGATATTCCCGAGGTGGGGATGCTGGCTTAATCCCTTTTGTTTGCAGGTGCCACACAGCATCACCATCTGGCCTCCTCAGACCACTGGGTGCCTGGGGCTCTGCCTTTGTTCCCATAAGGGTTGTTCTGCTGCCCAGTGCCCTCTCGGGTCTCCCTCTCCTTGGAAGCTGGCCTGGTGGAATGCAGCTTCCCCCTGCAATAGCACCATGCTCAAGGGATGTGGATTCTGCAGAGAAAATACAAAGGTCCCAGAGTCAAGTTCAGAGCTTTTGGATTTGTGTGGGGAAAACTGCAGAGGTAATGTGCTCTGGGGGAGCTCTGCAGTGACCCCTCTGGCTGAGTCAGGAGTTGCAATGAACTGCTCAGGAGAAGGGAAGAACAAGATGGGGGTTGCTGGTATCCTGCACCAAAAAGCGGTGCCCCCAATTCTTTTTTTACAGCGTTCCTCCCCGAGCGCGCGGTCACCACTCCACTTCTCCCGCCTCCCAGGCTTGCAGCGCCAATCAGCTGTTTGGCGCCGCAAGCCTGGGAGGAGAATTAGAGCGGGGGCAGCATGCACAGGGAGGAGGTGGAGCAGAGGTGAGCTGGGGTGGGGAGCTGCCACACGGCTCCCCGGGGGGGGGGGGGGGGG